TGGGACAAACTCCCCTCTCTCCGGCAGAAACAGGAAATGCCGTAACTGTATCTAACAACGGTTTCAAATCAGCATCTCTTTGACAAAACATTACAATTAAGAACTCAAATAAAACTCCAAACATCTTTAATTGTGGTTTTTTGTAAAGCTCTTTTAGTTTTAAACCTGATGTTTATAAGTTTCTTAGTTTTTGCAACAGTCTGTAAATATACACAACTTTATAATAAAATGCACACATTTACCTTTTTCAAGACTAAACACAGGTATGATCCTAAGTAAAAAACATATGAGGTTATCATGAGGTTGTTAACATCGCAGTTCATCAGTGGATGTTTGCTGGAACTGTTTGTAAACAGCGTGTTTCCTGACGGACACACACAGCGTGACTCCGGTCAGGTAGAGACCGGTCTCCAGTCAGCACCGCTGCAGACTCGCTGTTTGAGGGCTTGATAGCCCACTCCCCCTCCACACTCGTTGGTTTGGAACAGCACTTAATGTGGCGGACCCTCCGCGCAAACGGAGGGGTAGGGTGTAGGGGGCGGTTTGGGATTGGGCCTGGGCCTTCATATCGGAAATGTGGACCCACGGCACTATCAGAAAGTTGCTATCAGAAACAATGCCCGACTGTTTTGGACGTAATATGGTCGGCGTTTACATTAGCATCGCTAACACTCAGAGCTAACCTGTACTGGAGAGCATGTGTGTGAAAAGGAACTCACCTTGTGGTATAAAAATAGCATGATGGGTGCACTTTAAAAGTCACCTATCATGCTATTTTTAGTCAATAGCAAATGTCTATGAAGTGTTTTGCTCAAAATACCAAACGGATCACCCATTCTAGTCATGCCTCATATCCCTCTATTTCACTTCCTGTTTCAAAAGTGCTGTTTTTCGGTATAAAGCTTTATACCACAAGGTGAGTGCCTTTTTATTTCCTGCTTCTTCACACACATGCTCTCTCCAGTATAGGTTAGCTCTGAGTGTTAGCGATGCTAATGTAAACACCGACCATATTACGTCCAAAAAAGTTGGGCATTGATTCTGATAGCAACGTTTCTGATAGTGCTGTGGGTCTGCATTGCCGATATTACGTCAAATCTGGATCAGCCCCGTTGTACCCCCATTTTTAGAGATTTGGGTACGGAGGAAAAGAGAGAGGGTTTTATTTTCTGACGCTGCGTGAGTTCCCTGACACACCGGGGACACATATTTATGTATAAAAGACATCAAAAAGTGCATTTTGCATGATAGGTCCCCTTTAACAAACATTAACAATTGTGAATTCTCTTGGCAGATAATATGGCCAGCATTTTTAATTTTCAAAATAAGACATCAGGTGAACATTCTCCAAAACAATGGAATAGCCTTGTTATATGCTCCTGGTAGAATATCCTTAGGTGCTAGCTCAGTTAGCTTAGCGCCGCTCCTGGTCGGGCTGGTAGACGCCATGGAAGACGGGTCAAGGCCGCTGAACTGAATCCAATCCCCACAAAAAAAGACACAATTGTGCGCAAAAATGAAGCTTACCTCATGGGGGCTGGGGAAAGTGTTAAACCCTCACGTAGAAGATGATTGACAGCCATCTATTCTTTCTTATTTCCTCTCCAGATAATCCTGCCAATGTTACCCAGAACACTTTGCAGCATCATCAGCAGCAGCATCAGCAGCATCAGCAGCAGCAGCAGCAGCAGCAGCATAACGCCAGGGGTTTCCCACCGAGACATGCAGGAGCTCCCCTCAGGCATCACAACCCGAGGAATAAACAGCCAGCATTCAGCCACACAGCCCCTCCACACACACACAGACACACACACGTGCCCCCCATGTACCTCCCCCCTCCCTGTCCTTACCCTCCTCATCCACCTCCTCATCCTCACTTCTTTCCCCCACCCAACTTCCCCATGTACCCTCCTCCTCCCCCCCCTCCTCACTCTTTCTTCAATCCGTCTTTCTCCTCTCCTCGCTGGCCACCAAACTTCTCTGACCTCCCTCCTCCTCCCCCTCCCCCGCCTCAGTGATGCCCCCTCACCCTCTGTACATGTAGACTTTAGACCAGTGTTTATTAAGCTGTACAGTCAGTGATATTAGAATGAAACATGATCAGCTATATGCTGTTACTAACCACATATACATATATAGTTCCTTATCTAAATGGTATCATATTCCAAATGTGACTTTCTGTCTTTGACAAATCTCCACTGCATTCACACATGCTCTGAAAAATAATCACCTTAAAACACTGAACCCTGGAGAGGCTGAAGCTGTATGCAGATGTTGTGGCAGCAGCACTCTTGATTCCCCCACTAACACAACACATAGTTGTTTTCTATTCTAACCAAACAGAAAGATGTTAGCAATGGTCAGGGGCTTCCTGATTATATACAATTTATAATTCTCCATCTTACACCTGTATTCTTACAGCAGGAGAAATGAACTGGCCAATAGTATCACAGTTTGTAACTGCCATGCCCAGCGTGGCTCTGGCATTAGATAACATTCCTCCTGGGCTGCATTCCAAATCTCATACTTCCTCAGTTTACTCTCAGTATGTTCTGCAGCGTTCCGAGTGTGTGCATGCAGGATAAAGACACACTGCTTACACACTTTAGACTGTGACCACATGCTGTAGAACAACCTTTTATTATTGGCATACTGAATTTCACATACTCATTGTGTTGGTAGTATGGGCATTCGAATGCACCCCTGATCTCAGACTGACAAATGTGCAGCGGCCTATTAATGAAACATGTTTAAGGCTCATGCAGGGGTCAGTATTTTTCACATTTGTGTTTTTGGTAAATCTTCCTTGGAGGTAGAATTACGTGCATTCTAAGCAGATTGTGAATGCTGTGCATCACAGTGTGTGAGAGGCTCATATACACAATGTAGAAACTAACTAGTGCTACGTTGGTTTTAGTTCACCTGGATTAATTAAGAAAGAAAGGATTATGTTAAGAGTAAAATAGAGCAGCAACTCCTTTTTATTTTTTGTAATCGGTTTTTTTATGTAGCAACTTGATAATGGCTGAAATAATAGACGGCTAGATTGGAGTTGAGTTTAAGACGTACATAAAATGTCTAAAGAACTCAGCGTTCTCTATGATTTATGACCGACTGTATATATATATATATATATATATACAGTGGGAGACTGGAAGAGCAGATGAAGGTTTTAAGATGATTTGTTGAAAAGTCAATCACTCAACTCATTTGTCCTGTTAGGATAAAATTCATGTCATTTTATATGTACTATATTTTTTTCACCAGAATGCTCTGTCGGTGTTGACACTTCCACATTTCATGAGCTGCGTCAATGGAAATAAATGTCTAAGAGCAACATGTTTGTGTAAGCCTGTTGTGTAAAGCTGCTGCTGTTCCCCAACAGGACATTACTACACAGTGACACGAACATGTCACTGATAATCATCTAATCACTTACATTGAAATGCTAAAGCACGAGGTAAGGGTTGATTGACAGTCAGGGATTGTAGACGGACACCATCAGATTACATTAGAATAGCTCATGAAATCATTTATCTTGGTTTGAAGTCATTTCAGAAGGATTCTTAGAATGACTTGAAGGTATATCATATCACATATACATGTTTAATTTTGAAATGGGAAAGTTGATTTTCTGATATGACGAACAGGTCTCATTGTTACATTTATATAAACAGTATGAACATAACACACCAAGCATGACACATAAAGCAAACATTATTTTTAACATATATTTAGTTAGAAAGAAAAATAATCTCACCTTTATATTTTCAAAAAAGGTTAATAATTCACATTTACAGTTTTTTTCAGTTGCTAACACACAAAGATCTCACATAAAGCATAATTATTTAAACTCACACTCAAAGAGCAAAACCTCAGCTCAAATCTCCAAAACGCTAAACACATTTTCAGATCTGCTCCCAATTTGCTATTCAACTTGGAACTTTTTGCAAAACACTGCACCCGGTTCTCCAAGTAAGACAGAAATCTGACATATTCACTTGTTTGCCATTTTCAAAACACTGCCATTAAAAATGCTAAACACATGAACCAAATACCCATGCCAAATGGCTGTAAACACCAAAGTGCTTTACTGTTGACTCATCACTCAGGATGTAAGCACTAGAAAAAGGCTTCATGTAAGAAATGTATAAAAACAACTGCAAATATGGACAGCAGCAAGAGGACGAGGGAGGATGAGAGAGAGGGAGGATGAACTGAAGTCAGTTGAGTTATTTGCAGCATATCGGTTGGAGCTGTATGAGCGTCAGGCTGCAGGTGCTGCTTCCTCTGCAGGTTGATGAGGGGCTGTGGTCAGACCCAGTGAGGGGGTCAAATAAGTATTTTCTCTCCTCTGTTTTTTCTAAAACTATTTATTGTATTTCTTTTTCCTCAAAGTTTTCCTTTCACTTTACTGGATTTGACAGAGGCATCATTTGTGTTTACACAACTGTAACTATGTGTTGTGCAGGAAAGTTGCACCAATTTGTTTTGGAAACAAACAACTGTATATTTGTGTTTCTGCACATATTTTTGTAGACATGAACAATCTTTGTATGCAGAATCCTCTACATACAGATCACCATAACAGATGAGTGTGCTTTAGATAAAGCACCACAGTGTGTAGTTGGTTGGACAAAGTGTATTTCACTCTAATCGAAGTCTGTGCCATTTCAGGTGTTTTGCACTTTGGGTGTGTGGTTTTGTGAATTGTGTTTAGTGTTTTGACAAAATGAGCCCTGTTGTCAAAAAATGTGTTTTAGCAATTGAAAGAAAAAATTAAAATACATTTACTTTAAACAAGAAAACACACTTGCCAAAGAATGAAGAAGTCCTGCATCTCTTTATGCAACCATGTCTAGCAGAATGAGATAGGATGATGGAAACTCAGATGTAATGTGTAGGAAACATCTGATGGGACAATAGTTCCTCTCCACAGACAGGAAAAGGTTTGGGCGTTGCACAACATCACACATAAAGCACACTTCTCCCTGCAGCTGCTTCAAAATGGCCGTGTTCGTCCCCCCCGGTGAGGGTCACATCGATGTGGAGGTTGGAGAGTATCAGGTGTTCCCCGGAGCTCAGCCCCAGGACGCTGCTGTGGAGGAGACCCCAAAGACCAGTGAGTGCTGAGGGGGGGGGGGGGTTACAGTATATAAACATAACAATATGAGATGATACATTATTTCCACATCTGCCATGTTGAGTTCCACCTGGAGTAAATCCACAAGCTACCCTGCAGTATACAAAGTCATTCAAACTAGCTGCACCTTTACCAGCTTTGAGAACACTTTCATGATCAATCATTATAAAACATATCAGATATATTATTCTGAAATGGACCAATCTGCACAACGACTACTTTTACTTGTAACAGAGTATTCCTTCACTCTGGTACTTCTACTTTACTTAAGTATAAGATCTGAGTACTTCTCCCACCTCTGCATTAATCAATACTGCTGTACTTTTACTTACTACTACTACTAGTAAGATTCTCAAAGCAGGACTTGTACCAGATTATTTTTAGAACTTAGTATTGTTTTCTTTACCTAAGTAAATTATAGGAGAGCTACTAACTAAGATATAGTAAAGTGAGCATGTATCATTGTGTGTGTGTGTGTGTGTGTGTGTGTGTGTGTGTGTGTGTGTGTGTGTGTGTGTGTGTGTGTGTGTGTGTGTGTGTGTGTGTGTGTGTGTGTGTGTGTGTGTGTGTGTGTGTGTGTGTGTGTGTGTGTGTGTGTTGCAGAGCTCCTCCTCCCTCTTCTCCTCTGTGTGGCTCTGCTGTGTGTTCTGCAGGCTGTTCTCAACATCTCTCTGAGACTCTCTCTCAGTCAGCCTGCTGCTGGAGGTAAGCTGCTCTCAGATCCTGTAAATATAATGTATGATGTCCTTTATTGTTTATTTCATGTGGAACCTATATGCTGCAGGTCTCCCTTGAAAAAGAGATCTTTGATCTCGGACCAATCTGGTTAAATAAAGGTTTGAAATGAAATGAAATGAGATCAGTGTTATCTTCTGTACTCTGGCAAGTTCATTCAAATAGCACCTTTCAACAAAAGGCAATTCAAAGTGCTTTACAAAAGTGAAACACATTAAGAGCATTACGCAGCGGAATCACATTATAAAATGGCAAAAAAAAACAATTTAAAGTCATTAAAAAGCAAATAAAATAAAAATAAACATAAACAAGGTAATGTAGTATAGAGTAATAGGAACTCATCGAAACAGTTATTTAAAGGCAAGAAATTACTCAGCTGTTGAAAAAACCTTTTTCAATGATTTTAGGAATGGGAGGTTTGATATGGGCCTGTAATTGTTCATTAATGAAGCGTCTAGATTATTCTTTTTTCAGAGCGGTTTAATGAAAGCAGTTTTCCGGGCCTGTAGAAATACACCTGAGTGAAGAGACTTGTTTACTATGTGAAGTAGATCTGAGGCAGAGGTGGGAAGTAACTAAGTACATTTTCTCAAGTACTTGTACTTGAGTAATTTCATTTAATGGTACTTTGTACTTCTCCTCCAGTACATTTAAAAGGGAAATAATGTCTCCAAATAATTTGACTCCACTACATTTATTTAACAGCTTTAGTTACTTTTTAACAAAATGCATCTCTAAAATGTTGTAGAAGTGGACAAACTCTTTAAGTCATAAAAGAGTCAAATTATTTAAATATTTTACAAAAACAGGGTCTGTTTGCCTAAAACAATAAAATGCAGCTTGATGCAACAATACTATCTAGAAATGTCACATATATAAATATGCTAATACCCACATTGGGTAAACATGTTTGCACAATGATTACTTTTACTTTTGATACTTTAAGTATATTTTGCTGATAATACTTTTTTACTTTTAGTAAGATTTTGAATGCAGGACTTTTACTTGTAATGAAGTATGTTGACAAAAATGTATTAGTACTTTGAATCAAATGACACATCAGAATACTTCTTCCATCACTGAGCTGAGGAACAATGAGAAACATAAGCCTGTTGGTTTAAAATCACATGACGTGTGTGTGTGTGTGTGTGTGTGTGTGTGTGTGTGTGTGTGTGTGTGTGTGTGTGTGTGTGTGTGTGTGTGTGTGTGTGTGTGTGTGTGTGTGTGTGTGTGTGTGTGTGAGCCAGAGCAGATCAGCTGTCCCGAGGGCTGGCTGATGTTCGGCTCCAGCTGTTACTTCTTCTCCACCCAGAGGAGGAGCTGGGATGGCGGGCGGAGGGACTGTGAGAAGAGAGGAGCTGACCTGGTGATCATCGACAGCCGGCAGGAGCAGGTGCCTCATGTTCCTCTGCATGTGTACAGCTGCAGAGTCTTTCTCTTTTCTTTAGAGGAGCCATCTTAACCCCCCTGTCATGGTTGTCTCTCTCCCCTTACTTTGGTGTTCCTGGTCAAATGTGACCGGTGTGTTTTGACTGCTTTTACATTAACACGAAAACCATTAATCATCACCACATTTGATTAAACTCACTTTTAAGCTGTAAACAATGTCCCAGACTACTGGTTTACAGTAATCACTGCAGTGAATATACGGAGAATAGACATTGAAAATGTATCAAGCAAAATCAACATTTTATCGATGTGTGTGTATCTGATGGATGAACATAATCTAGGGTTACCCATTCATTTCCTATGGAGGTCATTTTTGACCGGGAACACCAAAGGTGTGACAAAGTTGACTAAACCACTAAAAATTCCTTGAGGCAATCCAATGTTAAACACAATATTTATGATTGATGAAAGCATGAAATCGCTCAGATTTTACCCGAACACGACACAAGGATACAACAAGACTACAGTTGAAAAAAAATAAGAAATAACAAATAAACAACCTCTAGAAGTCAGAAGAAATATTAGTATCTTCAAAGGACTAGCCTGAGATAATGTATGCCTCTAATGAAATGCTCTGTGAGATGAGAGTGGTGTATATAAACACAGTGTGTGATACTGTAGCTCCATGGTGACCAGTTGTTGCTCTCACAGGCCTTCCTCACTGGATTCAGCCCAGCAGCCTGGGTCGGGATGACGGACAGAGAGAGGGAGGGAACCTGGGTCTGGGTGGACGGGACCCCGGTGAACAGACAGAGGTGTGTGTGTGTGTGTGTGTGTGTGTGTGTGTGTGTGTGTGTGTGTGTGTGTGTGTGTGTGTGTGTGTGTGTGTGTGTGTGTGTGTGTGTGTGTGTGTGTGTGTGTGTGTGTGTGTGTGTGGTATTAGATCCTGAACAGTTTGGCATCATGTGTGGCAGTCCTCTCATCAGTGTGTTAGTGTGTGTGTGTGAATGATTCAATGTTGGCTTGCCATTTACCTTCATTTATTGAAAAAACATCCATGTTAGTTAATCTGCTGCTGGTGTGTGTGTGTGTGTGTGTGTGTGTGTGTGTGTGTGTGTGTGTGTGTGTGTGTGTGTGTGTGTGTGTGTGTGTAGCTTGCTGTGGGCCCCTGGGCAGCCTGATGACTCGTTGGGAGGAGAAGACTGCGGTGACCTTCGCACCATGACTCTGTTCCTCGGCCTGAACGACTTCAACTGCATCGTCAGTCAGCAGTGGATCTGTGAGAAGAGCCTGACAGAGCTCTGATGAGTGTGTGTGCAGGGCCGTCCCTCCCTACAGGCCGATCACGCAGACTGCGTGGAGCCTCACCTTGCGGAGGGGGCCTCATCTTGCGGAGGGAGCCTCAACTGAGCCGACAATGCGGCGCGCCTATGCGGCGCAATTAGTGTGGCACGGCACGGTTTCTCCGCTGCGAGGCTCCACTAGCACATCCCGACCCCGTCGACGCTCGCGAAACAGAAGGCCTCATCATATAACTTCTTTGCGTGGGGCCTCATGTTGGCCAGGGACAGCCGTGTGTGTGTGTGTGTGTGTGTGTGTGTGTGTGTGTGTGTGATCCACTTCCTCATATATACTCTGCTGCTGTCTGCAGTGATGTCACAGTGAAACCCAATGTCACAAAAACAGAGTTTGAATCAGAGATAACGGTACCACAACGATGCGTTTCAAATTAACCCAGGCTTTCTTCTTCTGTGGTTATCAACTGTCTTTGTTAACCCAGGCTTTCTTCTTCTGTGGTAACCATCTCTATTTGGTTGGTCTTTTGTACAAAAAAGATCGATAGCCGCCTAAACATTTTTTACAGCAAAGCACATCCTGTTACTAATCTTTTAAATTCACAAATAATGTACTTTTTTTACTACTCGATTAGCACTCTCACTTTTATTTCTACCTTGATAACATCATTATTCATTCCTAATGCTTAATTGACAGCGCAAAATAAACAGTTGTCAACATTTCTTGCCTCTGATTATTACACATTATGGATGTATTTAGTATGATGATGATCATCATTTTATTTATTCACAAGTTTAAATAAAAAAACAAGCACAATCATAATGGACATAATGGAGACATGTGAAATGGGACACCCCAATAAGCTATAGGGAGCTTGAGAATAGGGGTCCAGACAGTAATCATAAAGTATTCACCTTTACATAATGTATCATTACTATGGAATTGAGAGAGATCATGTATTAATCCAAAACATTACAATCCAAAGACATACACTAACCAAAAATCCTCAAACTACTAAACCTAACTACTTAATGGTCTAAAATATTTATTTCATCAGTCTAAACTTTTGTTTGAAAAGTTCAGGTAAAATATAGAAACAGAGACACCCTATATGGGAAAATGATGGTACATATCAATAATGCATTTCAGAGGAAAGAATCTCTCTGACATATTTGCTTAACAAGTGTTGCTTTAAGCGCTTTTTAAAGACAGACAAAGATAAAGACCTTTATATAATTATATCAATCTAATTCCATACTTGAGAACCTTTGCAGACCACACTAAGGCTGCAGTTTGAGCTTTTTACCCTTTATAAAATCCTAATTCCTAGTTCAGCCATGAGCTCCTGAAATACAGACAGCTATCAGAGGATCGGTGTGACACTCCAATCAGCTGTGCACCCGATTCCTGCAGGCAGAGGTGAACGCTCTGTAAAGATGTTGTGAGGACATCTAAGAAGTGACAACACCCTCATCACCTCTCTGGGGGGAATACATATGCTTAGAGCGGACCCATGGCAGAGGGTGTACTTCCTGCAGAAGTTGAAAAAGTTTGACTTGACAAGATAATGCTCTTTAACAAACCCATCCTTCACCTCCTCCATCACCATCTATTGGAAGACAAGAGCCGCTTTCACACCAAGTACTTTGCCGTACTTAGTTCCCAGTACTTAGTCCCGCCAAACTCTTTAGTCCCGTAACTGTCCTAGTAAATCGCGTTCACAACGGAATGAGTCCATGAGGGAGGATTAGGCAAATGAAGCCGCTGACGTCACTTTAGGTTTACTGGCAGGCCGCAAACAACTCACGGCGTATACTGCCACCCGAAGTCCCGGAGTCCCCCGGAGTCCGGGACTTCGGGTGGCAGTAAATCGCCACCCGAAGCCCCGGGTAAATCGCCAGAACACCGACACCTCATCACTCCACCGATCCCACGTTTTATTTTGTGTTGCCATAAGTTAGTCTCTCTCCGTTGGTGCGCTGGGCTAATGCTAATGCTAATGCGAGGAAATAAAATGGCGGCTTCACAAAATCTTTTTACAGTTTTACGGGGCGTGGTTTGCAATTCGCCCAGCCAATCAGAAATTGGAACCTTTTTCTCCCCAGGAAAGTCCCTGCTTTCTTGGAGGGACTAAAAAGCGGTGAAAAGGTTCGCAAAAAAAAGTTCTAGTTCCAGATCTTTTTGGTGTGAACGCAAAATCCCAGGAACTATCGGAACTATTCCTGGGGAAAGTACTCCGGTGTGAAAGCGCCTAAGGGCAGAAGAGAGATAGTCAAAATGATGATTCACACCTACTGATAGGTGCTTTATATATAAATCAGAGTTATTCTTCAGAATCTACAGATAAACGTTAGAGTAAAAGCTGAGGCTAACAGTATACAAGCTGGTCATTTCCAGGAAGGAAAGTCCTAAAACACCAACCTCTGCATCAGCTGCAGCGTTACTGGCTTCCTCGTCATCAGCCAATCAGCAGCGCCCACGTCACTGGGCGTTAGCCAATGGAAGCCTTACCTTAGACACACATTTCCTTAAAATGAAAAGAGAGCCTCACTTTCCATCATTGGTGCAACAAAACAATAAGTAGCGGTAGCGCCAACTGTGAAAATGTCAAATCTGAATACGGCTTTAGACCTAACATCTATCAGTTTCTCTTTTCCTTATTCCACAGTGTGTGTGTTCCAGGTAGAATTTGGATTTAGAATACTTTTTTGTCCATTAAAATACAAATAAAAAGTGACTAAGTGGCAGTCTTAGTGGTTTATTCTTCCTCTGACTTGTGTGTAATCAAATATCAGTTGTATTAAAAAGAAATTATTTATAATAAATAAAAATGAGGTGATTGTGTTGGTGGCAGAATGTCCTAATAAGGTTCTTGAGGCTTGAATAGGGGGCTTTGAGTCAAGGTGTGTGAGTGTGTGTGTGTTGGAGGGAAGACATTGTTCAAACATTGTTGAGGATGGTCACAGGAATAAAGCATCTCTAACACCCTCTCACTCCATAAACGTCCAGGAGCGACGCTTGGTCAGGGTCCCGAGGCGTGCAGTTGGGACGCTCCTAGGCTCCTTCAGCTTCATAAAGGGACGCAAATAGCTTTCAACTGATTGCAATGTATTCCCATCTGCGGCGGGATTTGACGCTCATGGAAGCACGGCATTCGTTTGTGTCGGCGGCAATGTGAGCGTCCATACCCATTGGATAACGGAGAATTGTACACCCGGAAGTAACTATTCCCCTTACTGTCGATTGATTTGACAGTGATATCTCCACTACTCATCAACTCACAAACACCAGATTATCCTTGTGTCATGGCCTGGCTCTTGGCCATAACAAAAAGCGTGGGAAGGACGAGAACATATATGAAAAATATATTTATTAACAAAAACTTAACATAAACCAAAAACAAAGCAAAGAAAACTAAGCGACGTGGCTGCTCCCAGATCAGGTCCTCTGCGGGGAGAGAGATCGAGAGTCTGCTCAGGCCTTTAAATCCTCTGGTGCCAGCAGACAGGTGTCCTCAATCAGCGCTGACACAACAGAGGGAGAACATTAAAGGGCCATACACACACACACACCACAGGAGACAGTAAAGCAGGGGTCGTCACACCCCCCCCCCCCCTTAAAGTCGTTGTCCCTAGGACCACCGGCACAACAAACCAACCCCATCCCAAACAAAACCAAAAACCCAACCAGTAATGAAAAACAAAAACAAAAGACATAAGGTACCCTATTTTAAAGAAAACCAACAATTGTAACATACAACCCTCATACTGCCAACCGCGCCTCCAACACCCAGCCACATCTTTAGCAACACAGGTACCTGAGAAGCACACTTTAAAAAGATGGTCAGAGCAAGAAAGATTTACAAAACAGTATGAAAGACAATACATTACAGTCAAATATATAAGTCATGCACATTTTTCCTCGGGGCAAACTGTTAACAGATGGTCCGCCTTTCTGCAGTTGTAGCAGTTAGCCTCACTGGCTTTACTGCAATGCACCGCAACGTGGCCAATGTCGCCACACCTGTAACATTTCACCTTATTACAACGTCTCCAGATGTGACCAAGCCCACCGCAGGAGTAGCACCTCCGGTCGTTGGCATGCCCACAGTCACGAGCCATGTGGCCTGGTTTGTTGCAGTTGTAGCACACATCCTCAGTTTGGTCACAGTCCCTGGCCATATGTCCTTGGTCTCCACACCGATAACAGAACATTTCCTTCCCACGTCCTCGACACGACCACCATCAACGCCGCCGCCGCCACGGCCATCATCAACGCAGCCGCCACCACGACCACCATCAAAGCTGCCGCCACCACCATCAAAGCCGCCGCCACCACCATCAAAGCCGCCGCCACCACCATCAAAGCCGCCGCCACCACGACCACTTTGACCAGTGGAGCAATGCTTGGCCTTCTGGTTTCTAAACAGCATAGTTTTGGCCTCTGGCACCACTGTAGAGCTCTCCTCAAACCCAGACTCAATCAGACCACCAGTCACTAAAGGCGCAGGGGGAACATCAGTCCAGATTCTGCCACCTGCCAAACTGTTGCCCAGAATAAAATCTATCCCCTCGATTGGCAAAGCTGGACGTACACCAACAGCTACTTCACCTTTAACAAGGTCACAGTCAATATACACCTTATGAACAGGAATAGGAAAAACTTTTAATCCCATCCCCCAACTCAGAACTGTGTCACCTGTGTCACTTTCACCAGACAACGGCAAAACAGAGTCAACAATATAGGAGTCAAAAGCCCCTGTGTCCCGCAAGATTTTGATTGGAATTCTGACATCACTACCTACCAATGACACCAAGCCGCCTCGTATAAATGGAGTATAAGATGCCAAAACCTCAGATCCACATAAGTGGGATTTAAGCACATCGGCAACACAGCAGCTTTTCACAGGCACAGCCAACGCAACAGGCCCAACAAAACATCTTCCTCCCTCAGATTTTGCTCTAAGTGCAGGACATTCTGCCTTCCAATGGCCTTTTTCACAACAGTAGTGGCAATTATCAATGTTAACATGTTGTCCACATCAGTTTTTACCAAACCCAATTTCCTTGGATCCATCCCAA